GAAAAGATAATTCACATATTTTTCCCCATCAGGCATGGGCAACTGTGACTAAAGGAAAACAGAAATAGAGTTTCATATACTGAAGATTATTTAGAAGCAGGAGGGAACAGAGATGGGCTTCAGGGTTAGACTGAATGTGAACCACAACCATGCAGTTTGCAAGCGCTGGACTTCGGTTCTGAGCCACTGCCATTCCCTGCCTCCCAGCTGCTCTTCTCAGCCCCTCCAGTCCTTTCTCCTTTCAGCAGCTGGAGCTGCCCTGCAATCCTTGACCTTAAGCACGTTGACAAGTTCATGCCTGCCTTGTTTTTACATCAACCCAGGACCCAGGCCCTGACGGGACAGGCACATCTTGGCCTCGTCTGTAAAGCAGGGATGGCCAGACCCCCACGTAGAGCCACGAGAGGGCTGAGTTATGCAGCACAGAGGCAGCGCGGAGCCGGAGCCCAGCAAATGTCAACGACCTTGTATCCCCTTTAACAAACTCGAGGGAAATAAACTTCACTGTCGTGCTGGCAGTGAAGCAGCAGCTCAGGGCCTCTTTCCAGTCCGCGCCCGCCGTGTCAGGCTGCAGGTCTGCATGGCCCCAGCGCCCCCCTCCACTCTCACCCTCCACGAATCCCGGCATGGCCTTGCTCAGGTGCCTGCATCAAACAGGAGCTCCACCCAGGAAGGGAAGAAAAATGACCTCGGGGAAACACACAGACCAGTGGGTTTAATTTTGGAACCAAACTAAACTGCAAAGCGCACATTTTTTAAAACTTCATTTCTATCACCACCATTGGAAAAAAAAATCTTAATTTTTGTAGATGACCATGACCATCAAATTCTAGATGATTTAAGAACACGAACATTCCTGGAGTTCAGTTCTCTAATCTCCGTAATATTCCGGGTTTCAGTTTATTTCATATGCTAATTTATTAGGTCCGTGCTCCAGTTTCCTTCCACAATTCTGTGCCACCCTCTTTCATCAAGTCACTCTTCGGGGACAGGAGTCTGTTCGTGGAGAATGTCTTTTGACGAGCTGTAGAGGCCTCGCCAGAGCGCCTTATGTTTCGTGAGAACTGAAACATATTTGCACTGAATTTTTCTAGCAGATTTCTGTCAACTATTTAGGAGGACATATGGCGTTTCTTTTCTTACCTTTGAGAAGGAAAAAAAAAATACATGAAATCAGGGCATTTGGACAAATTTCCTTGCTTGCTGTGGTGGTTTGATAGAAGCATTTCATAAAGCCAAGCCAGCATCTGTAATGTGGGACAGAAAAGCAGTGAGCGGGCAATGGGGTCTGCAGAGTTCCTCAGAGACCGCATTCTTGTTCACTGCCTGCCTCTGGCGGCTCCGTCCCAGGGCGGCTCAGTGAGGCTCAGAACAGAAGCTGGTCACTCGGCAGATCTCGGGCCCTGTTGTGTGGCTTGGTCACTGGTGTGCAGGTCAGCGAGCTCGTTCTGACTGCTGTCACTCGGTGGAGGCCGCAGGCCCTCTTCTCGCTGACCCGCTGTTCCCAGATCTGATTATTCAGTCAGATTCTGTCCCAACGTCCCTTTCTGCAGTCCGTGGGTACAGGGAATGATGCGCGTGGAGGAGGCGGTGTGACAGGTGGGAAGGAGCGTGGGCTTCGGAGACCAGTCTCTGGGCTCAAATCCCAGCTCTGCATCTTCCCTGAGCCACGGTTTCTTCGTCTCTAAAGATGGGATGAGAACAGCCATCGTGTCAGGCTGTCGTGAGGGTCATGGGAAATCATTAGACGTCTGGAGCCCAGGAGGGACACTAACACAAACGCTAAGCTAGCTTGCTTGCTTGCTTGCTTGCTTGCTTCCTTCCTCCCTTCCTCTCTTCCCTCTTCCTCTCTTCCCCACTAAAGGGCTCTCTCAGGAGCCAGGCGTCCGAGGAGAAAAGGTGTGGCCCGTATGCATTTTATGCACCTTGAACATTGAAAGCCTCTTCTCCTCTGCCTGAAACTCCTGTGCGGGAACCAGTGTGCCTTTAGAAGATCCCTGGTAAAGTTCTCCCTGCTCCTGGGGACGCGCCCAGTGCCCTTCTCGCCCCTAAGGAGCGTTCATTTATCTCAGGGCTAGAAGGAAGACTGGAGGACC